AAATAGCACATTCACTATAGAAAATTGACTAAATTCAATAGGCAAAATAGCACATTCACTATTCTTAAAGTGATTAAGGGATTAATATCTAATTTGAAATAACATATTCCCTTTTGAATGGACCATTTGTATGCTCTCCATTTCTGCCAAATTTGTTAAGGAGTTCTTTTTTTTGAGCTGAAAGGCACTAACACTTTATTAACCAACAACAGAGGATACATTAGCAGAAGATACATCAGCAGATAAAAAGGATAAAAGACTATCTGGTGGGATCACTGCCCAGGATACAGGAAGAGCCTGAGAGGCTTGGGATGTGGCCACCCAATGTGCTACCCGGTTGTTGGATCTGTGAGTCCACGAAAAGGAAAGATGATAGACAGAAGCAAAGTAGTGAATATCCATAATAATAGCACTCAACTCCCAGGGAGGTACCTGTTCTGAAACACACAGTTTGATAACCATTTGGTTGTCACTCTCAATCTCCACAAAGGACAAGTTATGGGCCCTAACCATAAGGCAAGCCATGCGGACAGCGAAAGCCTCAGCTTGGGAGGCTGAAGAGGCCGAAACAGTCCTGGCGTTACCATCAATTAGTTGGCCATTGGAATCCCGAATAACTGCTGCAATGGCAGCCATGGAGTTCCGTTGGCAGAAAGAGGCGTCGCAATTTATCTTGAAGTAACCAAAGTTGGCTGGTATCCATCCTGAGACAGGGGTAGAGGACAGAGAAGTAGGCCGATGATCTTGATTGGTGATAGTGCTTAAGAGGTCTGCCGGTTCAGTCCAAGAGTGAGCAATTCTATGGAGTGTTGCCAAAGGATCCACAGGGATATTATTGAAGACGAACTCGTTCCTCGATTTCCATATGAACCAACCCACAATGGCAATTTTGCTGAGAGAGGCCTTGGCATCAGAGAGGGAGGAGGCTTGGCTAATGATATCACTTGTCCATTGAGACACATTTGGGATTGAGCCAAGGGCTATCCGAAGGTTAAGTGAACTTCCAAACCACACAGCTTTGGACCAAGAGCAGTCAAACAACAAATGTTCCACTGTTTCAGTAGGAGAAAGACAGATTGGGCAGACCAGTGAAGTGCCACATTTGCGCCTGAAAAGACCAGCTTTGGTTGCAAGGAGGTTATGACACTATCATTAAACAGGCAAATGGGATACATCTGAAGAAAGAACAGAATTTAAGGCAACAGGGGGGTTGACAACCCAATCAAAAGGTAAAGAGTTTGTGTACAAAGCCTTTGTTATCCAATGGGCTGCGCCGTTGTTGACTAAATCCAATGGGCAAAATAGTACATTCACTATAGAAATTTGACTAAATTCAACAGACAAAATAGCACATTCACTATTTTTAAAGTGATTAAGGGATTAATATCTAATTTGAAATAACTTATTCCCTTTTGAATGGACCATTTGTATGCTCTCCATTTCTGGCAAATTTGTTAAGGAATTCAATTGCACTAAATTGACACCATATGAAAACTAAAAGGCAAAATTGATAGAGTTGAAATTACATGGACCAAATTGATTCCAAAAGCAAATTATGGAGACCACAAATATAATTTTACCCATAAATATATAAAACTAAACACGTACATAACAAACTAACTGATCTTATTGAAAGCAGACTTATTAGGTAGAACATGAGTTGCATGAACAACCTACCAAGTAGCTTTAGTAACAACAAAATAAAAACTTAAACAAGAAAACAAATTAAATATAGTTTTAATGTCTTCCAATAAACCATACAAATTAAAGTCCACATAAGTCTCCAGCCAAAGTAACTTCACCAAATTAAATTAGAACTATATGTGTCAACAAGTGAACACCACACAGATATCCATTGATATATGCTTGAACCATCTAAGAGCTTCCAGACAAGCTCTTTGCCTCTGCCATCGAGGTTGAACAAGCAGCATAGAAGGAAGCACTAAGACAATATCATCATCCTGCAACAAATTAGCTGTTTGGTAAATGAAATTCCCCAATCTGGATTTTGAACATGAACTCCTAAGTTAAAAAATAAAATAATAAAAAGGATTAAAATCATAGTATACAGCTGCACTGATTTAACAAATTTGATATGCAACTAGAAGAAATGAATTCTTGATTACAAACTCTTTGAACTCTTACTTGATTTAAGCAATCAAACCATATCTCGCTTTTCAAATTTTCTTCTGGAGTTGATTTTGACATAACATGAACATATAAAATTCAAACATGACACTACTAATGAATAGGAATATGACAGTACTACTAAAGAATAAAAACATGACAATACTAATGTGTTAGTACTTATTCAATACCACTCAATAAGGGCAAGTTTCCTCTCCAATTCTAACAAGAGTGAGCGTCTTTTCTTCACCCATCATATAAAATTAAAGATCCCAGTGTTTAAATTGGGTATGGGTGTCTTATGAAGAATTTTTATACAACCAAGGCTGGTTTCTTCCTTTCTTATTGTAGTTTCTTCAAATAGAGTTGCATTTCAAGGCTTCATTCAATAATTCCTAGATTAGAAATTTAGCTTCTCTTCCTTGTTCTGTCTTTTTTCTTATTTTTTATCTAACAAAAGTAAATCTGCAGATTAATAAGCGAAATGCCCGAATTTGAATTTTTGTTAACTCTAACTAATCAATGTGTAAACTTCTCTCAAACTTTTCATAATGGTTTCATAAGTTTCAAAAAGGGATTAAAAGCATTGTATGAAGCTGATTAAAGCAATGGAAGCAACGGGAAATAATGAATCCCTAATATCATTCATTTTTTTGTCACCAAAAGAAAAGTGTCAACACCAGTCCTGTGCATAGAATTCATACCTGCAGTGACAAGAACCTCCCAAACAGCATTGCCTTCAATTCTGTTCACCTGGAATTGATTTGAACATAAGCATACATAAGCTTATAAAATTAAAACATGACAATACTAGCGAATAGGAACATTACATTACAACCTATCAAAAAAAGGAACATTACATTACTAATGATGAATAAAACATGAAAGTACTTATTTAATGCTAGTTGAAAAGGGCAAGGTTTCTCTACAATTCCAATTCTAGTTCAATATATTTTAGCTTTTATTTTTAAGTCCTTAATTTTTATTTTTATTTTTGAGAGAAATTACCTGCTGTCATAATTTTTATGGGTATGTAGCAATTCACAGTGGGAATTGTCGTGTAATAAGCAAAATTTTCATCCTAATTTATTACCTAACTAATGCCAAAGCTAACATGTGAATGGAAAAGATAAGATGGTGATAGAAGTTAAACCCCATGTTAAGTTAAGTAGGTCTGTGATCAATATGTAAATGCCACAATCAGAAATTCACCAACATAATTTTCTTTCAATGTAGCAGTTGATAACTTCATCTACAAATTAGAATAAATGTTGAACATACTTTAAAGAGGTAACTAGTTAGTAAATTATTTACTATTGATGACTGGTTTTGTGAAAGTTATGCAGTAGACATATCATATATTATCACAAAACCTTGAATGGTTGGCAATTTACAACAAACAGTGTGATTAGCTATGCAAATAGTTTGAACAAAGAATTTTGTTTATACCATGCTGGTTCTTCCTTCTTTCATTTTATTTTCTTCAAATTGAATTGCACTTTCAAGGATCCATTTGATAATCGTAGATTAGATGAAAAGCTCCATTTTTTTTTTCTTTTAATCTACATATATCTCCAGATTAATAAGCAAAATGTTCAGATTCCAATTTTGATTAGCTTTAGCTATGTAATTTGCATACACTTCCGTCAAACTTTTCATAATGGTCTCATAAGTTTTAAAAGGATTGAAATCATAATAAACAGCTGCGAGAAAGAATGCATCCTCTGATCTCATTCTCTCTTTTCTTTTCCTTTTTTTCTTTTTTTGGTCAACCAAAGATAATTTTATTGAAACACTAGATGAAGGTCAAACCGGCCTAAGATCAGTCTTGATACATGCCATATCAACCATAGAAATTACATTCATAGATAGAGCAAACCTGGCTACTTCATGATCATAGGCCATCTATGAAGCACGGATACTTCAAATAGGGTGACGTATCCGTATCGTACTCGTATCGGATACCGAAACTCCTTAGATACTCGCGGATACGTATCGGATACTTATTAAAAGTATCGAGTACTTCTTAATTATTTTTTCATTAATTTTGGAGTATCGGATACTTAATTTGAAGTATCGGATACTGCAAGTCATGTTTACTTGTTTTTATGAAATTAGAATTGCAACATTTCTTGCATAGTAATATAATATAATATAATTGCAAGCATAAATATAAGAATATTTTTCTAATACTTTGTTAAGTTTTTCGATAAGAAGAGCAGAGTGAGTTAAATAATAGAATTTATCAAATTGATGTATCCTAATTATTTCATACATGTCCCTATGACTACATAGAAAGTAAGAATTAACAAGACAATATAACAATGGTAAAATTAAACATCAATAAATAAATAAGCAAGTAAACTTGAATATAATATTTTTCACTAGTGTCAAAGGAAAAAGCATAGGGACAAGTTGTCAATTGTTCTATTATTGTAATATAAATATATTAAACTTGATATTGAAATGAAATATTTGCAAGACCTATTAAAAATTTAAAAAGTAAACAAGCTACTAGCTTAAATTAATACAAAATTCTTAAAGGTTAGTATTTTGCATTATAAAATTACATTGTGATTTCTCAACGTTCTTTAGCTTATGTGTAACTCACTATTAATAATTTTAAAAAATATATTTTTCACAAACGTATCCTAACCGTACCGGTATCCTATTTTTTTAGGTTTTATCGTATTGCCGTATTCGTATCGTGTCGTATCCGTATCTCGTATCCGTATCAGAAAGTTAATTCAAAAGGAAAAAAATGAGGCATTTTCCAGCATACCACATCTTCATCAATAAGGCCTTTCCTCTCCCTAAATTTTGTAAGGCATTTTCCAGCATACCACATCTTAAGATTGTCTAGTATGAACAAAACAAGAGTTGAGAAAATACAAAACAAATATATGACAATCAGCTAGCATATCCTCTATATTAGCACCAGTTCTATACATAAAATTTAACTAATGAACAATTTGCTGAGCTTCAATTTCAACAATTATTACCTTAACCCTTCAGCTTCAACAAAGACAAGAGCCTCCCTAACAACAATGCCTTCATCTTCTTAAAAGTCTTCACCTTCATGATGAATATAGTATAAGCATGTGAATTTGAAACATGACAATATGAATGAATAGGAACATGAAATTAGTAATGATCAATAAGAACATGATGCATTATCTTTTTAGTGCTTATTAGTACCCCTCAATACGTACAAGTTTCCTCTCCAATTCTAAATATAGTTCAGTATCTGTTTTTCTTTTATTTTTAAGAGAAAATTTTTCTTAACTTTTTTAAGAGCAATTACCTGCTTTCATGATTTTGATGGTTGGTCTGCAACAATCCACAGAGGATAACTGCTGTGTAAAAATAAATTTGTTCTTCCTAATTTATTGTATAACTAATTCCAGAGCTATGTTAAAGGAAAAGATAAGATGTAGATTTAAAAGTTAAATCCCATGTTAATTAAGAAATTCACCAACACAATTTTTTTCCCCTTTCATTGTAGTAGTTGATAACTTCATCTATATAACATTTCATGGTGAGAAATAACTATTAAGAGTAAGAGAGAGATAAATAGATGTCTTCAGAATAATGCTAGAGACTAAAAATTTAGACAGAAAAATACCAACAAAAATATTGTGTGGTGTAGCTACAATTATATTATGAATTCTAGTATAGGACTTGGGAACAATAAGCAACTAAAAATAAATGAGATGTAGGTATAAATTTTCAAATATATATGAAACAAGTCTACTCCCAACAGAAGAACAGTTGCATGTAAATATTTTTCGAGAGGAAAAGTTATTGGCATATGTAGAAAAGGGAAAAAATGAGACAAAGAGGAAGAGAGATGGGTGGAAAAAGTACTGATCTTCACTCTCCTCTGTTTCTGAAAATTTCTAGGAAAAATAACCAATAAGTCCTATTTTGTTTTTAGGATTACTATCAAGTTCAATATGTACAATTAAATCTTATTTTTTTATAACATATTTTCAAAATATTTATTGCTCCATAATGTTGGATGTTATCTCAATTTTATCCCTAATTTAATATTAAAATATTTTTAATCTAAGTAAAATAATATTTTTAATTGTAAAAATTATGATATTGTATTAAAAAAAATCATAAATCACAATGAAAAACTTATCAAAAAGTGCTATTTTATTTTGAAAATTATTATTAAGTTATATCAAATTATGAACAAAGAATTTCATAAATAATTTTAATTTATTAGAAATATTATAGTTAAATTATTTTTAATTGTTCAAATTAAATGATTTTTAATAAACAAAATTATAAGTATAAGATTAATAATTTTTACAATTAAAATTTTAAATTTTAATTAAGTTAAATTTATTTTTAAAATTGTTGTTCATATTAAATAGGAAGGATAAAATTGGAATAAGACGCCAATATGCTGTAATGAAATCTTGTGGGAACCTTTTATTATAAATAAGACTTACTTATTTAAATTAAAACTTGATATTCATTAGTAATCTCAAAAGTAAAAGAGGATTTATTGATTATTTTTCTAAAATTCTTCTATTTTCTTGTTTTTGTCAGTTTATTTTAATATGAAAGATTAAATACAAAAACTGTGGGATATTAGAATTCTTACTGGTCCCTTTTGGATTCATCTAGAAAAAGGAATTGTTTTACCGTCAAAACGAATGGAAGGGACGTGGCTAATTTTGTGAAAATCCTCTCCTTCTTGGCCATCGACCACTCGGAGCCTGTCATTGAATGCTTTAGGCATAGCGACAGTCTGCAATCCCTGGAGGGTAGGGATGAATGTCAATCCATTCGGAAGCATCTTCAATTTCCTGCAGCATGCAATCAGTAGATAAGAAAGTTTAGGCATGGCTCCGTCATCCACCCTCCATTCCTCAATTTGTGAACACGAAAGCGTTAGATGCTTGAGATGAGGAAAACCATGAGCAGAGCAAACCATTTCCTTTCCTACAAAGGCTCTTTCTAAGGATAGAATCCTTAAGTTAGGCAGCTTCTCCAGTGTTGCCATTGGGTCTTCCTCAAGTTTAGAGTTCTGCAGGGATAAATAGTTGAGTCTTGGGCATAATAACTGGTGTTCGTATTGTGGTAACTTACCTATAATCCCATCTATACGCAATTGAACAAGGCAAACACACCCAAGCAATTGTCTCAGGAGGCGTAATCCATCTTCTGAACACAAATCACAATGTAGAAATTTAATGGATGTGTGCTATAGTCGATGTTTGCTGTTAAGGATGTAGTTATTGGCCATTGTTAGGTCCTCAAGCTTTCCCGCTATGCATACATTCTCCAAACTCCGGAGATTGGTTAATTTGAAGAGATCTCTAACATTAACCTTATCTGAATCCAAGTTTTGTAGCGTCTCCAGATTCCTCAAACCATCTACTCGTAGTTTGCCTTCTGTACAAAAGTAACGATAAGGAAGATAAAGATGTACCAATCCTTCCATCTTCCATAACACATTTGGAACACTGATATGGAAGTTTGTTCGTAAATCAAGGGTTTGCAAGTGTCTAAGGTTGCTTATTGATGATGGCAACTTTGTGAATGCACCCCTATTTATACCCAAGTACCTCAAAAGGATTAGGTTTCCTATTTCTTTTGGTAACTCTTTTGGTCCTTTCTTTTTCTATCAAATGGATTTCCATCGAAATTTATAAGTCTAAGAAATTTGGATTCTTTGGAGAAACGGGTCAATTGTTCTCCAAATGAATAATCACAATCATCACCTATGAAGAATAAAATTGTCCGAATATGCCGAGCTCTTTCTTCTTGTTCAAAGAGATGAAAGTTACTATTCCCATCTAGATTGATGACAAGTCTGTGTATTTTACTGCAAGTGTTACCACCAATTGATGTTACCATGGATGAAGAAGAGGGATGCTCTTGCTGATTTATATGCCCACATTCAATGACCTGATGAAAATTTTCCTCTTTTGCCTTTGACAAACATAAATCTCTCACGAGATCATGAAGTCGACAATATCGAAACCCTCTATTTCCTGTAATTATTGAATCCTCATCTGGCTGCAATTCCACTTGAACCATGCACCTTTGTGCTAGTTCACCCATGTAACGTTCGGCCACATCCATCATGGTTTCGTCTTCTCTTCTTTCTTCTTGGGATATGAAGCCTTCAGCCATCCACAATTGATATAGTCTCTTTGCATTGATGTCAAAATCCTCAGGATAATTGCCCAAATAAAGGAAACATGCCTTGAGCTGATATGGTAAGCCTTGGTAACTCAAAGCTAACACATCCAATACTCTTCCATCTTGTCCTCCTCCTCTTCTCATGTATTAAAATTTTGTTGCACTTTCTGCCAATGGCTCAGGGTCAAGTTTGTTCCTAGAAGTCCTCCAAGTACTATAATGGCTAGTGGTAAGCCCCCACATTGTTCAACCATTTCTATTCCTAACTTCTCCATCATTGTGTCAACTTTGAATTCTGCAACAGACCAAAGTGTAAATTTATCAATGCACAGAATACCTCTTGTCTTAGTTGGAGTATGCTAGTTTATGTTATGCACTCTGAAGAAATTTGCAAAAATGTTTTACATTACACCACAAAGACTTTTTATTGTCAGTTGTTATGTTATGTTTAAAACTTTAGAAATAATCTACCAACTTGCCATTTAATATACATTGGAATAAATACCACGGCATATTAATAAACAAGAGAACTAATCCCAACCATATGAAACAATCTATCAGCCATGATTTCAAGAAGAGAATAGTAAAAAATTATATGCCCACAAAATGAAAGAAATAAACATTTTTGTTGTAGTTTTGCATTGAATGTGGTTGTGTGAGACTAGAAACCTGAAGAATCATTTTCACATCATTGTCTTACTCTTTTTGTTTTTATTTCGTGGTTCCAATTCAAAATTTCTAGCAAAAATATGGTACGTGTCACCACTTCTATTTCAAGATTTGTGGTGTAGTCTAAATTCAAGAAAATCTATGAACATAGCATTGATTAGGTAAAAATGAGAATTAAAACAATAGTAGAAATATATAGATCTTATAAAAAAAAAAAAAAAAGGGAAAGTGTTATTGAACTACAAATGCGAAGCATGATAGCATATTGTAGTAGCAGTGTAATAGTAGTGGATATGGAGTTAGATCACAAAATATTTGAAATTTCACAACAAACTAACCTATAGTATCTATTTTCGAGAAAGCTTTTTTTCTCAAATAACTTCCAGCTCTCTTGCTTACTTAAACACTTGTGGTCGAGGATGAAACCACTTGGATCCACAAATGTTACTTCTAGCTAGGGATGGCAATGGATAACCTACTTTATGAGTATTCATGGAGACCCAATTCAAATATATAAGTTTTTATCTTTTTTCTTATCCGTCGAGTAGGGTAAGTGATATTCTTTAAATATCAACCGGGGATGGGTACCCACTAATTTCCCCATATATTTTTTTTTAGGTACATCGAAAAATAATTTCTCCATAAGTTTTCACTACTCTGTTGACAATTAGAGTTCTAATTCTCACTCTCTCTCATCCTCTCACTACAGCAATGGCGATTTGCAATGACGACAATCTAGCGGTGACAAGATTGTGACTATCGCTAAAAAAACGCGCAATTAATCATAACCAAAACATGAAAATTGAAGACAAAAATGTACAAAATTTTAATTAAGGTGATCGCTAGTTAAGATGAAAATGAAAAATTCAATCTAAGGTTACATCAAATCAGAAAAAAATTCCATAAAACAATTGCAGGAGATATTGAAACAAGAAAATTCATTCTATAAATGCAAATAAAAATTTAAAAAAGAAAAAAGAAGAAGAAGAAGATGGAAACAAGAGCAATAACTCGTCTTCAGATTATCGAAGATCAATTAATAGAGAGGAGAAAGAGATAGATAAAATTAAAAAAAAAATTAAAAAATTAAAAAACAAGATGGAATTTTTTTGTAGGAATATAATTTTTATAAATAAATTTAAAAAATTCTAGACATACATAAAATTTGATAAGAGTAATGTGACAATGTTGATTAATGTATATTTGATTTTGTTGTTGAGCCAAATAAAATAAAATAAGATTGAATGTATATTTAGTTTTGGTTGTGAATCTTAAAAAAAAAATATTAAAAAAATAGTTGTGAACCTTAAAAAAAAAAACAAATTTTTTTTTTAAAAAAAAAAGAAAAGAAAAAAGATTGAATGTATATTTAATTTTGGTTGTGAATCTTAAAAAAAAAAAGAAAAAAAAAAGAAGAAGAAGATTGGTTGTGAACCTTAAAAAAAAAAACAAATTTTTTTTTTAAAAAAAAAAGAAAAGAAAAAAGATTGAATGTATATTTAATTTTGGTTGTGAATCTTAAAAAAAAAAAGAAAAAAAAAAGAAGAAGAAGATTGGTTGTGAACCTTAAAAAAAAAAACAAATTTTTTTTTTAAAAAAAAAAGAAAAGAAAAAAGATTGAATGTATATTTAATTTTGGTTGTGAATCTTAAAAAAAAAAAGAAAAAAAAAAGAAGAAGAAGATTGGTTGTGAACCTTAAAAAAAAAAACAAATTTTTTTTTTAAAAAAAAAAGAAAAGAAAAAAGATTGAATGTATATTTAATTTTGGTTGTGAATCTTAAAAAAAAAAAGAAAAAAAAAAGAAGAAGAAGATTGGTTGTGAACCTTAAAAAAAAAAACAAATTTTTTTTTTAAAAAAAAAAGAAAAGAAAAAAGATTGAATGTATATTTAATTTTGGTTGTGAATCTTAAAAAAAAAAAGAAAAAAAAAAGAAGAAGAAGATTGGTTGTGAACCTTAAAAAAAAAAACAAATTTTTTTTTTAAAAAAAAAAGAAAAGAAAAAAGATTGAATGTATATTTAATTTTGGTTGTGAATCTTAAAAAAAAAAAGAAAAAAAAAAGAAGAAGAAGATTGGTTGTGAACCTTAAAAAAAAAAACAAATTTTTTTTTTAAAAAAAAAAGAAAAGAAAAAAGATTGAATGTATATTTAATTTTGGTTGTGAATCTTAAAAAAAAAAAGAAAAAAAAAAGAAGAAGAAGATTGGTTGTGAACCTTAAAAAAAAAAGAAAAAAAAAATTGAATGTATATTTAGCTTTGATTGTGAATCTTTAAAAAAAAATTAAAAAAATTAAAAAAATGAGAAATTAGTGAGTATCCATACCCATCCCTTGTGAATATTTAAAAAATATCACTTACCTTATTTAATGAATAAAAAAAAAAATTATATATTTAAATCAAGTCTCTATAAATACTCACAAAATAAGTCATCTATTATCCTCTCTACGTAGCGGGGACGGGACACAGTTTTTAAGTAGCTGCGCAGGGCACGGAGGTCTGTGAAAAGTCACAGTTGTTTTGTTGGGTGCAAATGCAATTGTTTTGTATACATATGTATGTATGATGTCATTCTTGATTTTTTTTTTCTGGTTTTCTTGAGACTTTTTTACCACCTAGATTGATTTAGGGAAATTAAAATATACATTTTGTAAATATTAATAATTAAATTTGTAAATTTTGTTATTAATCTGCAAATGTTTTACAAATTTCCTACTGATGTGTAGTTTTTCATTTATTTAATTGTAATCCACTTTTATATAATTTGATATGATTACTATTGTAATAAAAATCACTTTCTCCTCCTCATTTAAAGAGCTGTACACTTTAGTTAAACTTGCCAATCAAAGCCTCCGTTTGGCAAGTTGGGTTGGGGGCTTTTTTGACTATTTTAGCCACAAAAGACAAAATAGGCTATTTTAGCCACAAAAAACAAAACATCACATCCAACCCATAATCATTACAATCCTCTCTCACAAAAAAAGTCAAAAAAGCCAAAAAGCCAAAAAGCCAAAAAAC